CCTATCAGGACCCCAGATGAATTTCCAAGGCAACAGACAGCCACCACACTCCTCTAAGAACCAGAGAGGAAACAGAAACCAAGGAACAAAACACCCACCCAACAAAGACATGACCAGACATCAGCACCTAGAATTACAATCTTCCCAAACACAGATGCCAATACACCAGCATAAAAACACAATCAGTAACAGCCAGGACGATATGTCTCCACTAGAGCCCAGCAACCCCACCACAGCAGGACTGAATATTCCAACAAAGCTGAAGCACAAGAAAAAGTCCTTACAGCAGCCCTTATGGATATTATAGTGGTCCTCAAACAGGAAATGAATAAATTCCTTAAAGAAATCTATGAAAACACAAACAATGGAAGGAAATGACTAAAACAACAGTTCAAGACCTGAAAGTGGAAAAAGAATAAAGAAAATCCAAACTGAAGAAAATATGGAAATTAAAAATTTAGAAACTCAAACAGGAACCTCAGAGACAAGCCTCACCAACAGAATACAAGAGAGAATCTCAGGCATTGAAGATATAATAGAATAAATGGATACTTCAATCAAAGAAAATTTAAATCTAAGAAACTCCTGGCACAAAACATCCAGGAAATCTGGGACACTATGAAGAGACCAAATCTAAGAGTAATAGGAAGAGAGGAAAGGGAAGAATCCCAGCTCAAAGGCCCAGAAAAATATTTTCAACAAAATCATAGAATAAAATTTGCCTAACCTAAAGGGAGAGATGCCTATCAAACTACAAGAAGAATACAGAACACCAAATAGACTGGACCAGAAAAGAAAGTCCCCTTGACATATAATACTCAAAACATTAAATGTAAAAAAAGAAAGAATATTAAAAGCTGCAAGGGAAAAAGACCAAGTAACATATAAAGGCAGAGCTATTAGAATTACACCTGACTTCTCAATGGAGACTCTAAAAGCCAGATGTCTTAGCCAGAGCAATAAGACAACTGAAGGAAACGAAGGGGACACAAATGGAAAAGAAGAAGTCAAAGTATCTTTATTTGTGGATGATATGATAGTATACATAAGTGACCCTAAAAATTCCATCAGGAAATGACTACAGCTGAAAAACACTATTCAGCAAAGTAGCTGAATACAAAATTAGCTGACGAAAATCAATAGCCCTCCTATATACAAATGACAAACGGACTGAGAATGAAATCAGGACAACACCACCTTTCACAATGGCCTCAAATAATGTAAAATATCTTGGGGTATTCAAGCAAATGAAAGACTTGTACAATAAAAACTTCAAATCATTGAAGAAGGAAATTGAAAAGATATCAGAAGATGGAGAGATGTCTCATGCTTATGGATCAGTAGGATTAATACAGTAAAACTGGCCATCTTACCAAAAGCAATCTACAGATTCAGTGCAGTCTCCATCAAAATACCAAGACCATTCTTCACAAACCTAAAAGGACAATCTTCAGCTTCATATGGAAACAACAACAGAACAGGATATTTAAAACAATCCTATACAATAAAAGAACTTCTGGAGGTGTTACCACCCCCAACTTCAAGTTGTACTACAGAGCTATAGGAATAAAAACAACATGGTATTGGCATCAAAAAAAGACATGTTGACCCGTAGAATCGAATTGAAGACCCAGACATAAATCCACATATTCGAATTGAAGACCCAGACATAAATCCACATATTCGAATTGAAGATCCAGACATAAATCCACATATCTATGTACACCTAATTTTTTTTTATAAAGAAGCCAGAAACACACCCTGGAAAAAAAAAGCATCTTTAATATGCTTTGTCTTTGGTGCTGGTCAAACTGGATAGCTGCATGTAGAATAATGCAAAAAATCGAAACTTATCACCCTGCACAAAACTCAACTCCAAATGGATCAAAGACCTCAACAAAGAGCTCAAGTTATACTGCACCTGATAGAAGAGAAAGTGGGGAATAGCCTTGAACTCATTGGCACAGGAGACAACATCCTGAACAGACCACCATTAGCACAAACAAGTACTAAGATCAACAACTAATAAAAGGGACCTCATGGAACTGAAAAGCTTCTGCACAGCCAAGGATACCATCAGTCAGACAAAGTGGCAGCCTACAGAATGGGAAAGGATTTTTACCAACTACGCATTTGATAGAGGGCCAGTATCTAAATATATAAAGAACTCAAAAAACTAGATATCCAGAAAACGAATGACCCAGTTTAAAAATGTGGTATAGATCTAAACACAATTCTCAAAAGAAGAAATTCAAGTGGCTGAGAAACAAATAAATGTTCAACATGCTTAGTTATCAGGGAAATACAAATCAAAACTACTTTGAGATTTCATCATATACCCTTTAGAATGGCTAATATCAACAAAACAAGTCAAAGCTTTTAAGACCTGACAAGGATGTGGAATAAGAACACTCCTCCATTGTTGGTGGGTGTGCAAACTTGTACAAGAAATCAGGGTGGTGGTTCCTCAGGAAGGTGTGGATTGATCTACCTCAAAATCCAGCTATATCACTCTTGGGCATATACCCAGAAGAGACGTCATTCTACCACAAAGACACTTGCTCAACCATGTTCATTGCTGCTCTATTCATAACAGGGAGAAATTGGAAACAACCTAGATGTCCCTCAACAGAAGAATGGATAAAGAAAATGTGGTTTATTTACACAATGAGTTTTACTCAGCCTTTTAAAAAAAATGACATCATAAAATTAACAGGTAAATGGGTGGAACTACAAAAAAATCATCCTGCGTGAGGATCCCAGACCCAGAAAAAGAAATATGGTATGTATTCACTTATATGCAAATATTAACTGTTAAGTCAATGATAATCAAGCTGCAATCTGTAGAACCACAGAGGTATGTATCAAGTAAGAGACTATAGGGATTAGATGGATCTCATTAGGAAAGGCAAATGGGATAGTTATGAATGGATGGGGGTGGACTGGAATGGGATCAAGTGGGAAGAGGAAGCAGAGAGGGAGATGAGGGAGAGAATATGGGAAGAGACAACTAAAATTAAGGGCCCTTGTATGGAAACTTAATGTAGTAGATGCTTCCTAAAATATATACGTATATTAAGGTGATCTAAATGAAGTAGACAAATAATGGGGGAGATAGAGTCCCAACTGGCCATCTCTTGTCACCAAATGAAGCTTGCCAAGACAATAAGTTGCTCTCCACAAACTGACAGCAAACCCGCATTGCTGAAGTCAACACCCACACAATTCATTGAACACGGAGAAGTCAAGCTGGTGTGTCTACATGGAGCCTTCACCCCTGTGTTCTATCATCTTTGGTACAGGAGAGTACTCTGAGGGCTACCAAACGAGAAATGTAAACACCAAGCCAGCCACAAACCCTTTGATCTACAATGGTGTCCTGCACCCAAGATATGCTAGGACAATGGTGGCACAAAGCTTGTATAGGTGGGGGGAGATAACTCCTTCAACCTTATGGGTCTTGGGAACTGAACTTGGGTCATCAGACTCGGCATCAGGTACCTTGCCCTTTGAACCGTCTCACTGAGCCATTTCTCACATTTTTAATGACTTCTTTCTCATTTATACATGTATGTGTGTGTGTGTGTGTGTGTGTGTGTGTGTGTTCCTTTCTTTATGTGTATTTTATATATCCAATTTTCAAATATCCTAAGTAGATGGATTTATAGTATCATGGTTTGGGGAATGTATACATTATATAGTTCTTAAGTCTTCTTATTAATAAATTTTGTGTATTTTGTGATGAGTTTTCAGTCTAATTTTAATTGAAACTTGATTTTTCTATTCTTATATACCTTTACTCATTAGTTTATGCACCTTGTGATCATTAATCTTGGTTGTTAACTTTATTGGATTTGGAAGTATCTAAGAGACTAGTAATGTATGCTCGGTACTCCATGAAAGCATTTCCAGAAAAGACTAAGTATGGGGACTTCATCTTTTAGGTGGTACCATCCCATCACATAGGCTTGCAAAAAAAAAAAAAAAAAAAAAAAAAAACAGAAGAAGGTGGGAGAAGGGGAAAAGGCAGTGGAGTCCAGGCTCAGGCTCTCTCACTCTGTTTCTGTCAGACAGTCAGTGGTGTTCCCCTCAATCACCCTCTTCTCTCCTTCCTGACTTTTGGAATCAGTTTTTGAGAGGAACTTTTATAAGTTGGTGATATGAGCTAGTGAAAATGTAAAACACTGTAACAGAAGTGGTTTCTGAGATCAGGGTGCTTACATAAATAGTCAGTGAAGACTGTTTATGAGGCTTTAGGTAGCAATAAGCACTGTATTGGGAACTACACTAGAAGGCATTCAGTCTGGCAAAGAAGTTATGTGCATTTTATCTTACACCCTAAGACTTTGTGGAAGACTCGGTTAAAAGCCATGGACTAATATGGTAGAGGAAATTTTATGGCATCCCAGCATTGAGCTTTGAAAAAGTTGGACAAATTTGCTATTTCCCTAGAAAAGAGAAGCCTATTAACACTAAGGAAATCGTGGCTGCTTTAAGGATTAGGGTCATTAAAATGAATTTAAGGGCCAGGCGGTGATGGCACATGCCTTTAATCCTGGCAATAGGGAGGCAGAGGCAGGTGGAGCTCTGTGAGTTCAAGGCCAGCCTGGTCTACAGAGAGAGATCCAGGACAGGCACCAAAACTACACAGAGAAACCTTGTCTCCAAAAAAAATTTTTTTAAATGAACCTAAGTACTTTGCATCATGGCAATAGGAAAGATATCTTGAGGGAATCTGAGAAATTGGCCAGCCCCACCTATTTCTACGTCAAAAATGCAAAGGATGTTTTTTTTTAGTTCACTGGAAATACTGTTTTAAGGAGAGAATTGATAGTATAGGGCACACCTATGCAAGTATTCCCAGAGTTCAGCTGCTCAGGCGCAAAGATTTGTTTTGGAGGTTGTTGGGGCCAAAATAAGTCTTTCTCCAAGTTGTTCTGCGCATGTGTTCTGTCACAGTGACCAATGCCTAACACATACTCCATTTCTTTCTAAAATAGTTTTGGTTGCTCCCTGTTGGCACTCCAGCTTTCAAGTCTACTACTAGATGTGAGGCTGAAGATTCTGAATTACTGCCACACTCTGGATTTCTTCCTGCTTGGTGTTCAAAAGGTCAGTAAGCCAATGACTTCAGTTCTACTCATCCGTTTTGTAAAGTTTCTGATGTAATGAGGGTTTTTTTTCTTATACTTGTGATTTATTGTCTTGTGTGATGTATCTCTTTCTCTGTGTAATTTTATTACTTATATGTTTGAAGCAAACAGGAAGGGCTTACCAAAATATGTGAAATCACTCTGCTAAATTGAACTGGCTACTATATATGTAGACATTAACATATGTGTGCTGTTGTGAATTGTCCTTTTGAGAATGACAAAAAGCAGATGATGTGCTATGAAATATGTACTAGACCTAAGAGCCTGACACTGCTCTATGTACTCTCTGTATTTTTACAAGTCATTTAATGCCTATTATAAAACAAACTCTTGCAATGGACTGTGTGAAATTTGCCCCTGGTGATAGCCATCTAGACAAGCTTTTCATTTGATTTTTGATTTTATTTCATAGAATCTCCTTTGCTTATCCAGGAAGGTGAGGTAATGCCTTTGGAAAAGAATCAGTAAGAGATAAAGGAGTTATTAGCCTTCAGCCTGTCTTATAACCAAAAGGTATTACAAATAAACGAGGACATTATTTCAGGACTTTCAAAGTGCTGGAATAAAATAAATCAAAATTTGTGTCTGAGACTTTTGAACTCATAATGCAGAGTTCAAAGAACCTTCAAAGTTAAACATTAAAATCAATTCTCAAAGAATATCAAGATTTCCTCGTATAGTCATTAAAATCAGTCCTCCTTATCTTCCAGTATGATTTGTGTATGGAAGATTCATGATTAGGAGCCTATATTTCAGGCTGGAGAGATGGCTCAGTGGTTGAAAACACATGCTGCTCTTTCAGAGGACCCAAATTCAGTCCCCAGCATCCATATAGAGACGCTCCCCCAGCATCCATATAGAGACGCTCCCCCAGCATCCATATAGAGACGCTCCCCCAGCATCCATATACAGAGGCTCCCCCAGCATCCATATACAGAGGCTCCCCCAGCATCCATATACAGAGGCTCCCCCAGCATCCATATAGAGACGCTCCCCCAGCATCCATATAGAGACGTTCCCCCAGCATCCATATACAGAAGCTCCCCCAGCATCCATATACAGAGGCTCTCCCAGCATCCATATACAGAGGCTCCCCCAGCATCCATATGCAGAGGCTCCCCCAGCATCCATATACAGAGGCTCCCCCAGCATCCATATACAAAGGCTCCCCCAGCATCCATATAGAGACCCTCCCCCAGCATCCATATAGAGACGCTCCCCCAGCATCCATATAGAGACGCTCCCCCAGCATCCATATAGAGAGGCTCACAGCCACCTGCTACTACAGTTTCAGAGGTTCCAACAGCCTCTTCCAGCCTCCACGGGCACCTACACATGTGCACTAACACGCACACACACACACACACACACACACACACACACACACACACACGCACGCGCACACACACAGAGAGAGAGAGAGAGAGAGAGAGAGAGAGAGAGAGAGAGAGAGAGAGAGAGTTCAAAATAATAACATAAGTAAGATCTTATATTTATGGAATATCATGTGTCAAACATTAAAATTAGGCTTTGATATACACTATAAATTAATTAACTTACATTATTTCATTTGATATCAGTGGCTAATTGGGTTAAGTTTCTTCCTTTTTTGTTTTGTTTTTGTTTTTGTTTTTTTCGAGACTGAGTCTCTCTTTGCACCCTGGCTGTGCTGAACTTGCTCTGTAGACCAGGCTGGCCTCGAACTCACAGAGATCTGCCTGCCTCTGCTTCCCCAGTGCTGGGATAAAGGTGTGTGCCACCACCGCCTGGCAGGCCAAGTTTCTTATTATGCTTGTTTCATAGGTGAGGAAACTTAGTATGGCATGCCAGAGATAAGTTGAGTAAAATAACAATAATTTATTCTCAATGCCTACTATAGTTTGTACATGGTTTCAAACATACCTAGAGTGTGTTCAAAATGGAATTCTGCTGTGGTTTTTCTTGCATTTATTTATTTATTTATTTGTGTGGGAGGGGGATGTTCAGAGCACACGTATATGTGGAGGTCATAGGACAGCTTTGTAGAGTCAATTCTCTCCTTCCATGATGTGAATCTCAGGGGTCAGACTGATGTCATTGAACATGATGGCTAGTGTCTTTACCAAATGAGCCATCTCACAGCAGCCCCTAACACTGTCAATTTTGGTACATGGGTATGAACTTTGATCTGATTGCTAGAAAGAGAAACTAATGAAAAGAATAAATTCTTGTACGTGCTCTTTAGTGTCCAGTGGCTTTTGTACACTGAGGGCAACTTGTTACTCTTTGTGTTTTGCTTACTGCTCAACTTTATTAAATTCAAGTAGCTCATAAACCAGATGTTTAAACCAATTTTAAACCACTTTTTCTTGGCCACCTAAACATTGGTTATCAATTTGATGAACTGAATATCCTAAAATCTATAAAGTGTAATTACAAATTCAGTGTGGCTTTTTTGGAAACAAGTTAAACCGCTTGAGTAGCATATTAAGTCTACACAAATACAACAATTAAAAATACATCATGTATTTCCCTTTAAGCCTATTACAAGGTACAAAGACAGAGGGGTTAACTTACTGTTCTTTATTTCTGCCCTTGTACTTTTCGTCCTTCGTTTAATGTTATACTTGTTTTATTTTTATGTCTTTTCAGGATTTTACTACACCTGAATTTCATTAACTTTACCCAACTACCTAGAAAACACATCTCAGACTTGCCAAGGTAAAAGAATAAAACTGATTTTCCAGGCTCATAGATATTGAACTGTGTGTGGTGGGTTGGGAACCTTTTCATAACAGCATTTCATTTGTTATCTCTTAGAACTGCCTCTTTGTAACTCGTTTTTATCAAAAGCTGAAGCATTCTTTAATTTATGCATGTTTTGTCATCCCCATTACCCTGACCTCTTACTATGTATTCAGTCTTTTAGCATTATTCAGATTAATATATTATTTGCATTTTATTATAATTTGCATAAATTTGTAGATAAGGGATTGAATCTTTTTTGATTATTCTCTTCTTTAAAATATGTTTTCATCTATTGGATTTTTTCTACGTGATTATTATGTGTAGCCATCAGTGTTTATCATTCTTACAAGTTCTTAGTTATGTGTGAATTAGAAACAAGAGTCCCTCTCTGCAAGTATTTGATTTCTGTGCGAATCAGAGAGAGGCACCTCCTGCCGAATGACACAGCCCCAGAACTTGGGCACCTGGTTTTGAAAACAAAGACTGAACAGACTTCCATGTTCTGTTCTTGGGCCCCCTTGAACTTGAACTTTACCCAATCGGTATATTCATACATAGCAGCCATTGATGTGTGCTTGTTTTTTCTGAAAGAACTTATGATTAACTCATTGCTTTTCCTATGTTCTTTCCTGCTTGGCCACTGATAGAAGCAAGGATATATCTATATTTGCATATGCTTAAAATAAATATTCATGCATTTTGCTATATAAAAGTAACAAATCTTAAATGCCCCGAAGTATTTGTTCTTTTCACAAGTTTTGAGTATATCATCATAAACTCAGTCTTTTACTAACTAAAATATTTTCAATTAATGACAATATGTGTAGTCAAAAGATAAAATTTAGTTTTGGAAGCCCCTTGAAGGTGGTTTTCCATTCTTTTAATACTACCTCTGACATTATTGAAACAATTCAGGAGACTCATAACAGCAAAAGAATTTATTTGGATTTTTTTTTCATGACCTAAAACATCAGCTATCTCCTTTACCGGTCCTTTGGTGAGAGGCAATATCAGGGCAGAGGGATGCTTTAGAATATTAAAGGGGCTGGGTATGGTGGCAGAGACAGGCTAATGAGATGTCCCACTTGCTGCCAAGCCTGGTGACCTGAGTTCGAGTGAAGGAGAGAACCAACTCCTACAAATTGTCCTCGGACCTCCATTCCCATGCTCTAGCATGTGTACATGCGCGCTCTTGTCTCGCTGGCTCTCTCTCTCTCTCTCTCCCTCTCTCTCTCTCTCTCTCTCTCTCTCACACACACACACACACACACACACACACACACACACACACACACACACACACCTGTGCATGCATGCACAAGAATACACAGTAGTGCACTGGTTTTATTAAACACTCTAAGAATTGGGCTCTGTTCTTAAAGATGAAAGAGACATTCTGTAACAGTAGAGCCTGCCTTTAAAGAATAATGGACCCCTGAAAACTCAAATGTTGCCATGATGTCTGGAATTGGCACAATCTAAATATTTCAGTTTCTGTCCCATGCTTTCTCCAGGCCAGTGCCTCACTGTGAAAGGGATCCATTTATATGGAGGTGAAAACAACATTTCTTCAATCTTAAAAGATGAGTAGAGGTCCAGCAAAACAATTCAGTGGATAAAGGTGCTTTCTGTGCAAACTCCATGACTTGAGATCTATCCCCGGAATGAATATAAAGGTGGAAGGAGAGAATCAACTCCACAGTTTTCCTCTGACCTCTCCAGGCACAGTGGCGTGAATGTCCTCCTCCCCTCTCCCTCTCTCTCTCTCTCTCTCTCTCTCTCTCTCTCTCTCTCACACACACACACACACACACACACACACACAAATTTAAAAGATGAGTAGGTATTAGGTAAACCAAGGTACTTGGGCATAGGGCATCATTCTATGCAGAAGTTCTTGATCAAAGGGACATAGGGGAAAGATATGGTGAAAATCCTAGCATGTTAGTACTTCTGATACATGAATTATGAGGCAATGATGCTAAAATGATAACTATGTTGTAGGATTCTGTGTTGTGATTCAAAAACAATGGAGATTAGTATAGTGAGTAAATCGCACAGCTAGATAATGGTGAAGCTGGCATTCAAAGCATGTGATTTACTCTTACAAGTTTTCACTCCACAGAGAAACCCTGTCTCAAAAAAACAAGCAAAAAAAGAAAAGTCATTCTAGATGCTTGTATGAACAATATTTTTGAGCAAATTAGTAGCAGAAAATAAGAAAGCATAGGGAATTAGTGCCCTTTAGTAGTTGCCATGGTCATTTGTTGGAACCTTTGTGATATAATCCTGTATAACGGTTTTAGTGCAATCATATGCTTTATAGATTTTTTTTGAGACCAGCTAAATGGCATCTTCCTGTTTTTTTCTTCTTGAAAATTTCCTTAGCATGAACCTACATGAAAGGTAAGTTTTCACATGATGTAGCAAACCTTTGATGGTGCAATATTTAAAGTATAGCTTGGAAGCCATAGCCTAGGAAGACAAGCTGGAGAAGTAGAAGCCAGCTGATTCTCAGAAGAGGACTGACAATAGCATGAGTGTGAGTCTAACGGGCAGTCTTCTCATAGGTACAATTATATTCTACAACTCAGTTTTGTGCCTACTTTATATAGTACATTGAATGAGATCAGCAGGCCATGGGTATTGTGAAAGACTAGGAAAGGGCTATAGATCCAGCTGTCCTATATTTATTTAGGTATACAGTTCCAAATATTCTGTAAATGTCAGTTCCCATATCTGTGACATAAAGTTAATGATATGCACCATGTTATCTTACAGAGCTATCAAAACACCTTTTGTGATCAACAGCGAGAAAACACTTGGAAAATTTGGCAAGCAGTTTTTCCTGCTCAAATGCTCTTCTTCTCAGTTACTGTTTTCAGCTGTGTTCCAGAAAGCTGAGGCTTCTCTGAGCCAGACTTCTGATCAGTGAAGTATCGGTGTCCTCGTGCGAGCACTTCCAGCAGGCCCCTACTGATAGAGTGCACTCTAGCTGAGACTTCTTGCATTAAATAGTGCCCTACCAAAAAAAGCTTTACAAAGTGCCAGAGAGACTTTTTACAGTTTGAAAGCTTTTCTTCATCTAGCTCTCTTTACATCCATCTAGTAAAGATGGATGTTAAGCTAAAAGATCGGGACTTCTGGTACAGCCTCCATGGCCAAGTCCCCGGGTTGCTGGAGTGGGACATGGGAAATGAATTTTTCCTGCCTTGTACCACAGATCAGTGCTCTTTGGCTGAGCAGAGTCTTGCCAAATACAAAATTCAGCTGCTAAAACCACCACCACAGCCTCAGGAGAGGAAGCCCAATCTTGATGATGATGGTCCTCCCACTGAACCCAGCTTGTGGATGTGGGTGAATCCCAACATTGTGTGCCCCGCCAACAGCAAAGAGGCTCCAAATCCCAGTCATAAAGTCCTGCCAAGTGCACCAGGCCCAAAGACTGATGAGTCCGGCTGCTTAGGGACTCAGAGAGTGATGCAGCCCTTGTCTTTTCTCCACACTGAGCATTGTCAGCAACCAAAGCTGTCCGCGTTCTCCAACGACCCTGATTTCATAGAGGAGGAGACTGAGGAACAGGAATGCACATCCTCTAACAAATACAACAGGAAGCCCCACACGCTGTACCCTGAGAGGCAGTCCTGGCCACGCCCTCCTCTCAACTACAGCCACCTAGTTGCTCTAGCATTAAAAAGCAGCCCTTCCTGCGGCCTCAATGTGCAACAGATCTACAATTTTACTCGACAACATTTCCCCTACTTCCGGACAGCACCAGAGGGCTGGAAAAACACCATTCGCCACAATCTCTGCTCCCTGACCTGCTTTGAAAAGGTGCCAGTCCCCCTTGAGGATGACGTGGATGGGAAACCTCGCTCTTTTCTCTGGAAGCTCACTGATGAGGGACACCGCTTCTTTCAGGAGGACACCCGTGTCCTGGCCTATGCTCGAAAGGAGAGCATCAAGCAGTGCATGCGCCAACCAGAGCTGATAGACCTTCTCTTTCATTTTTAATGTTTTCTTCTTTTCTTGTGTGTGTGTGTGTGTGTGTGTGTGTGTGTGTGTGCGCGCGCGCGCGCGCGTGTGTGGTATGTGCAAGTGTGCGCATGCATGCTTATATGTGTGTGGGCACGTGTGTGTGGAGACCCAAGGTTAACATCAAGAATTTTCCTCCATTCTCAGCCGGGCGGTGGTGGCGCACGCCTTTAATCCCAGCACTCGGGAGGCAGAGCCAGGCGGATCTCTGTGAGTTCGAGGCCAGCCTGGGCTACCAAGTGAGTTCCAGGAGAGGCGCAAAGCTACACAGAGAAACCCTGTCTCGAAAAACCAAAAAAAAAAAAAAAAAAAGAATTTTCCTCCATTCTCTTCTACCTGATTCTTTGAGGCAGGGTCTTTCAGTCAAACCTAGAGCTTATAGATGCTGTTAGTCTTCTTACTAGCCAGCTTGCTAGGATCCCCGATCTCTGCTTCTGAGGCTGAGATTGTAGGCAGATCCTCATGCCCACCCAGTTTGGCTCTGGGGATCTGAACACAGGTCCTCTCGCTTGCATGGCAAGCACTTTAACTGCTGAGCCATCTCCCCAGCCTTCTCTTTCGTTTTTGAAGTACAGTTGCTCACTTTCTGGAACACTGCCCTGCTTACTGTACCGGACTAACCTTTACTCATCCATAACCCTGCCTTGTTTGATTAGTGCCAAGTCTGTCTCTAGCCACTGTTAAGTAGTCAGAGGTGACTACAGACAAGGCCTAGATTAAATCCAGATGTAGAATGATGGAAAGTTCCACAACAGCTGCAATTGCTCTATGCTTTGAGCAGAGACAGAAAGTCTTAGGAACCATGGCAGGCAAGCTAGGGATAGAAAAGCATGTTATGCTTATTGGAGTAAACTGTGAAATATAAAGGACAAATACAAAATAAACCCAGGCTATGGGAACCTTGGGTGCCATGTGACGGTACATGTGCATAAAGAGAACTAGCCTTTGTGTTTGAAGTGTGGAGAGTTAAATATCCCCTTCTACCATTCATCGACTGCATCTTTTGGAGTGACCTGTTTTATCCCTCAGAGCCTCACTTTTCTCTTTCTAGTCCTAGACTTAACAGCTTTGTTCTCTTGCTATTCAGCTCCCGCAGTGACAAACGCAGGCAGCTGTTGTTTGTTTCAATACTGAAAGTCCTTACATTGCTTCTGTATTAACCCTAAGCTTTTTGATGACAATGTATTGGTGCTCATTTGTGTTTTTCACCAAACTTCATTTGTGGAAATGTAAGGTCCGTCTTAAGTGTTAAAGATAAAAAGCAAACACTTATTTGTGAGGCCTAGATAATTTATGTGTAATTAAACGGAGGTGCGAAGTTGCCATGGAAACAGGGAGACATCCTTCCTGGAAACAGAAAAGCATTAAAAATGAAGTGCCTTTTGAGTTAGCTTTGAAGAATAAATGGGAGTTTGCTGAGCACATAAACTGGAGAAGAAACATCATCGGGGCAACAGTGTGAATAGCGTTAACCAGGTGCTTGGCGAATTCAGGAACTCAGCTATCCTAGGGTCCGGAGCCACTGTATTAAAGGTAACCAAACAGCTTGTCAGTTGTACTTTGGTGTTTAAGGCTCTACAGAACTAAGGACATAATTTGTACATTGCTAAAAAGCACAAACAGAATACCAACATAGCGAATATTTCAGCCTTTGGCTTTCTAATTTCAAAATTCGTTTTTGTAGGTACTAAGCTCATGAAATTGGAGTAGTTTTTTGCCTTTTGTGTTAACGCGTTTTTAAATATATGCCAACATCTAGAAAATAGCTTTTAACTACGTATTTAGTTGCCAAGTATTAGATGAGAGTATAAAATATCCGTTCAGTACAAAAGCAGCTAATTTGACATGATTAGAGTAAGGGAGACTTCCTATGGTAGACACAAACCTGTTTGTTTCAGTTTAATTGCAAAGGCTGTGTAACCAAACAAAAGGATTCCTGAAAGTCATTGTAAATGCTACTTCTGTATCATAGTTACTTTGAAAATGTTGACACAAGATTCTGGAAGTAAAAAAGTTTTCTAGCTAAAGGAGCTGATATTGGTTTCTTGGTTTTCACAAAATTAACACTTCCAGGTCAAAGATGCTGCGCTGAACCTCAGAAGACTCGTTTCCTTCAAAGCGTGATTCCTAATGTACTTTCCGCAAATGACCTCTTTGGACATTTCCTAACGAGGGAAATGGCCATGTTCAGAACTCAACCATTGTGTGTGTGTGCATCCTGACACTTGTGGGGTTTTCATCTCTGCAGCTGCTCTGGTCCTTCTTTCTGCCCTGGTTCCATGAACAAAGCAGTAACTAGTCACAGTACCTGTTCACTCACCTCAGATGGTCCAGGTGTCCCTGAGTTTGTTATTTATTTGAGCCCTTTGAAGTTAAACAGAACTGGAAAACAGATACACACTTGGCATGGGATTATGTTCTTCTAAACAAGTGTTATCTGTAGTTTTCCTTTGTCTCATTTTAAGAACTTTCCCCCCTCCCCGTGTGTGTGTGTGTGTGTGTGTGTGTGTGTGTGTATGTGTGTGTGTGTGTGTGTGTGTGTGTGTGTGTGTGCTCGTGCACGCGCACGCCAGCACACACATATGGATGTCCAAGGTTGATATTGGGAATCATCCTCACTCATTCATCTTATGCACTGAGCTACAGTCTCACCCAAATCCAGAGATCACAAATTTGACTAGCCTTGCCTGCTGGCTTACTCTGGGAATCCCCTTCCTTCAGCTTCTGAGGCTGGAATTATAGGCAGGTCGCTACACCTATCCGGTATTTATGTAAGATTTGGGGGATTCAAACTCTGGGCCTTGCAGTGGTAGCCATCTCCCTGGCCCCGAGAATTGCCTTTAATAAGAATCAGTTAAGTAGCGCATTTATACTTCTCGTTTTATTCTTTAAAAAATTTACTTGCATTATTTTTAATTATGTGTGGGTGTGTGTGCACATGAATGCAGTACCCTGGGAGACCAGAGGCCTAGGATCTCTTGGAACTGGAATTATAGGCAGTTGTGTGCTGCCATATGGGTGCTGGGAATCGAACTTAGGTCCTCTGGAAGTGCAGAAAATGTTCTTAACCTCTGAGCCATCCCCCCAGCCCCTGCTTTTTTTTTTTTTAACCTGAAGAGCTTTTATTATATTATCTTCATTGTCTATCTTCAGTATAAGGGTTTCTGTTAAATCTACCAAATCTCCACCGTTAATTTTTCTAGATCTCACAAGTCCTTTATATCCCCAAGCAAACTGCCTTTGGACATTATAGGCATTATCCCTGCCATCACATAAGTTTCAAGCTCTTGTATTTGGGAACATTTGCTAAACCTTCCTGTTTTTAGTAAAGCAGCAAGCAGCTAGCCATTCCCGGTTTAAGGTGAGGGACTCCCAAGAGCTGAACTGAGTAATGGAACTAGTAGGTATTTCCATTCTGTTTCTATTCGGCCATCCTGCTGGGATTTAGTTTAGACAAAAAGATCCAATTTTTTAGGAAAGATAAAACAGAGAAAGGGGACAGGGTTTGCTCCCCTAAGAGTAGTCTGATAGGGACTAGAGGTAAGTGTGGGGTGGAGAGAAGCGCACAGAGCCTTGGATTTGGTCAATTGCCGATGGCTAATTCACTTCCAGAAGCAAATTATTTGAAAACCTCTTTCTCGTCACCTGTGAAATGGAAATAAAATTCTGGAGATTACAGAACATGGGAGAAGTTATCTGAAGTGGCCTGTTACATGATATGTATTTATTCTTCCTCAGAATTTATTACCACACACATAATTACGTATTCTTGCCCAGTAGCTGGCTTCTCTCTTTGCCCTAGGAATGAAAATATCTAGGCTCCTTGTTGAGCCTGTTATGGACAAAAGAGAGAAAGATTGGCCCAATTATCCTTCTAAAACAGCTAGAAGGCCTCACAGTAGCTCCTTTAGGTCATGTGAATGCTTTAATGAGGAAAAAAGTTTCAATTCTATAATTCTATCATCTGGACAGTAAATAGGCATATAGCAATCATGCAAAATGGAAATGGCCCAAAAGAGTATAATATCGCAAAGTAAATTCTGAACTATTTTACAACAATTCTAAAACTTATTTATTCAATCTATTAAAATGTGAACTTCAGAATAGGTAAAATGTGAATCTAACACAATGCAAAATGAACAAGGATGGCTTAGGATATACCTCAGTGGGTAAAGTAGTTGCCTAGCATGCACAAAGTCCTGGATTCAGTCCCTAGCACTTCGTAAAATGAGTGTGGTTGCGCATGCCTCTGTGGCTGACACTCAGGAGTTGGAGGCAGAAAAATTAGAAAAATTAGTTCAGTGTTGTCTTTAGCTATACGGTGCGTTCAGGGCCAGCCTGAAACACACAGCATCCTACCTCAAAAAGAAAAGAAAAAAAGTTTAAAAAATAAATACAATTTGGGCTGGGGAGATAGCTCAAGTGTCTGTCATGCAAGCATGAGGGCGTGAGTTCAAGGCCACACACACATCTAAAAAACCTAGGCACAGTCAGTAGTGCATGCTTGTCCTCTCAGCTCTGAGGAGGTAGAAACGGCGGAGAGTCCAGAGGCTCTAGCCAGTGAACCTCAGTTTCCAGGAGAAATTCAGTCTCATAAAGCAACGTGGGAGGCTTCTGCGGGATGACACCTGAGGTTGACTTCTGGCCACACACCTGCACACACATACCATTTTTTCCCTCATTCATTAAGAAAACGTCACATCTTAACAACCGTTTCAAAGGAAGAGTCAAGCCTGGGCTTTGTATTATTGAAGGAACATTGAGATGAACTACAGCAGTGAGTTTTCAACTGGGGATGGGAGATCTCAATATATCTGAGGCTAAAGGACACGTGTGCATTCCAGTTACCTATAATCCAAGAGTTTTGAGGTAATTCAAAGACAACAAACAATGCTCAATTTTTGACAACTGAAATGACATAATGAGTAATTTCCCATTGAAATACAGAATATCTCTTTAGTCTTCCCTCCATTTTTAATCACAAATAATTTCTCAAGGAAGCATCATTCTTGCTCACAAAATAACAGCAGCGATCCTGTTAGATTTAGCCTAATTATTTTTTCTCTTCTAGCAGTTTTTATGTGGATTCTCAGATGGAACTTTAAATATTTCTTGATGCTAGATAATACAATCAATGACTCACTATCAGATTTCAGATTTCACCTATAATACTTACAAATTTGAGAAAAATTCTCTTTCCAAGGTCCCCAAACACACTGGGTTGGTTGGGTCCACTTGGGAGTGACTTTATTTGCATACTTGAAAGTGTGGGGACGCTGTGAGCTCAGCGCCACTCTGACTTTCTCAGAAGAGTTTTAGAAGCATTGATCCCAGAAAGGCAATCTTAGGTCTCTAAAACTCTGGTCTTATCAAATTGAGTTCCATCCTCAAATATGATGCAGCAGATGAAACCCTGACAATATAACAACTGTCCAATTATATCCAGATAGCAATGAGGAGAGATTCTTGTTGCCTCTTCTTATGCCAATAGTTACCTTTCCATTAGCATAATTATATTCAGTAAGCGTTTACAAATTCTGGAGGAGTCAGACAAAGACAAAAAATATATATAACTGTTTTAACTTTGAAAATCAAGATGGATGAATTAAAAAGTACTCAGCACTGACTTTCTTCTGTAGCTGCATTTTGAGATGAATGACTATGGGGAAAATCGACAGGGGGTGGAATAACTTTCTAATATTCATAGACCTAAGATATCATAGAGAGAGAAACAAAACTCCCTCGTATATGCTACTCAGGCTTCACAGCTGCAGGAGGTGAGTCTTCCCTTTGCAGGGAAGAGGCGGACTCCCAGGAAACTCTCCCAGTGTGGATGCTGGCGACTCGAGCTACTAAAAAGTGTCACAGTCCTCACATAATTGTAGCCCACTTCTACAAATAATGTGAAAAACACACAGTAACCCTGCTTTGGGAAAGGACCTTACATCATCTCCCAGTGAGCCACCAGGGTGCTGGAGCCCGAAGTTATCTCAACAATGAGCTATTGTGTGAACTGGCTATTTAATGGGTCAGAAATTCCTGCATTCTCCCCCTCTGTGGGAACCCTATTGCACTGAGTAAGGGATTAACAGCCTAATCCTAATCTGTCAATAAGAGTGACTGTGAACCACGCCCACTCAGAGCCTTGCACTGTAGGGTATGTGCGAGTGTAACACAGCAGGTATTGCAAATACCACCTTCCTAAACCAAGAGATCAGGTTTGCCCTGTAACCCCAGGGGCATGGCCAGCTGCATGCAGACCCACGCCATGGCCAGGACTAAATGCAGGTGCCCGTGAGATGTCCACCATTCCTCCCCACTATACTATGCTCAGGTGCCCCTTACCGGTGGGGTGATAGGGGATATTATGGTTCCCACTGCTGCCCTCCCCATAGGCACATGCTGAGGGGGCCTTGGGCAACCTCAGGGCTCTAGCCATCACAGTAACAGCCAGGGGCACAAGGCCAAAGAGACTGAGAGGAGCTATGCCTGATTTCAGCACTCTTCCTGCTCTTGGGAATGCACTGAGTCAAGGGAGAAATGCCAGACTTCAGTAGCTTCCCAGAGGAAAACGTCACATACAATACTCAGGCTACAATCCTGCAGCTGGGATAACAGGCCCATCTATCTCATCAGCAAGAACACCTCTTTCAGGTGAGTACATTACTTACATTATCTATGTCAGGAATTCGAGGACAATGAAGTTCTGAATCCTTTGTGGGTGTTTTCTCCCATGGAAAGCATGGATACAGGTTGGGTTCTTTCTACTAGTATGGGGTATCAGCTGCACCTCTGTTTTTCCCAGTGTAGCATCTTTGCATCACTTCCTCAGAACACTTTCACGTAGATGAGATCTCATACTATGTATCGATAGAATGTTTCTTCTTATGGACCCTTTCAGGTCTTTACAATTTTATGTCTCGGGGCTCTTAGACATTCAGAAGTGGGAGTACATTGGGTCTTTGGGGTCAAAAGCCACTCTGTTTTAGGTAATCTTTTTTTCTTTGTAACATTAAAATGATGTTCA